CCACTACCATGGTGGAGATGGTGAAGAACACCTCCACCACTACCATGGTGGAGATGGTGAAGAACACCTCCACCACTACCATGGTGGAGACGGTGAAGAACTCCTCCACCACTACCATGGTGGAGATGGTGAGGAACACCTCCACCACTACCATGGTGGAGACGGTGAAGAACTCCTCCACCACTACCATGGTGGAGATGGTGAAGAACTCCTCCACCACTACCATGGTGGAGATGGTGAGGAACACCTCCACCACTACCATGGTGGAGACGGTGAGGAACTCCTCCACCACTACCATGGTGGAGATGGTGAAGAACTCCTCCACCACTACCATGGTGGAGATGGTGAAGAACACCTCCACCACTACCATGGTGGAGACGGTGAAGCACACCACCACTGTCCTCGATGATAGGAATTATACACCTATAACACTATTCAATATTCACCCACACGTGTATGAATACACTTTGGGTTCCTGTTCCCCCGACACAATGAATTATTATAATTAATTATTACTTTGCCTCCTGCTCAGGCGAACGGATATCTCGCTGCATATATAAAATAAAATAAAAATAAAATAAAATAAAATAAAATAAAATATATTATATATATTATAAGCTTTGTCGAAAGCTTAACTTACGTGCAATAAGTCAAGCTTTTACAGGAATTAACACTTAAAATACGTAAGTAAATGGACATAGACGTGAGGATTATGTCTCCACAGTTTCCTGACATCATATGGTGACATAGAGAGTAGGATGTGGAGTTTTTTTTCCCCAAAGGCTAAAAATGTATGGAATCCCTTACTCACGGAAGACATTATCCAGTTTAAAATTCATCAGGATATAAATTCAGGTAAATCCAAGCAAATAAGTGATAATAACAAGTATTTCAATGTTTGGAATGACACACATTACTAAGTCCCTAGAGCTTTTTTTATATTCGAGGTTCCTCCTTGACGGGTAAATGTTATCGTAGAGGTGGATTATTGTCCCACTTGCGTGTGTTATCTTGGCTTATCATGCCGCCTCGTCCCCTTGAGGCGGGGAACGAGGCTTCCCGAACCCACCTAGGCTTCAACCACTTCCTGTGGTGACGCCTCTTGCTTACTACAACCGGAAATTCATTTCAGACTTTTGACGGAAGTTCCTTCGGGGGGTAGAAATAGCCTAAGCTACTCTATCCCTTTGAGATGTATTTTTTTCTTGTCTCAATAAACATACTTGAACTTGAACTTGACGGAAGTTCCATTGTGTGATTTTTTTGTGGAGACATGAACAACTACAAAACAAATGAAATGATGTACGAAAGACAGATATGAGAGGGGGAAAAATAACGCTATGAGTGTATTTTTATTCTGGAACTAAATCTATTTAGGTTTCATCTCTGCGACAGGAACGGAAATTTATTTTCAAGAGGTGGCAAAGCCTCGCACGAAGTTCGACAACTTCTTTCTCAAAGATTTCAGAATGTACCATTTAAATTATATTGTTATTATTATTATTATTATTATTATTATTATTATTATTATTATTATTATTATTATATATGAATGTATAACTTAAATATATATATTATTTCTATTGGAAAAATGTGACGTATAGAATATTTCGAAGAAGCATCAATTCGTTATTCTCTGCTTACCCATTATGTGGGTGGTGGTGGTGGCAGTCACAGAGACGCCTGTTACCCATTATGTGGGTGGTGGTGGCAGTCACAGAGGCGCCCGTTACCCATTATGTGGGCGGTGGTGGCAGTCACAGAGACGCCCGTTACCCATTATGTGGGCGGTGGTGGCAGTCACAGAGATCCCCCCGTTACCCATTATGTGGGTGGTGGTGGCAGTCACAGAGATCCCCCCGTTACCCATTATGTGGGCGGTGGTGGCAGTCACAGAGATCCCCCCGTTACCCATTATGTGGGTGGTGGTGGCAGTCACAGAGATCCCCCCGTTACCCATTATGTGGGTGGTGGTGGCAGTCACAGAGATCCCCCCGTTACCCATTATGTGGGCGGTGGTGGCAGTCACAGAGATCCCCCCGTTACCCATTATGTGGGCGGTGGTGGCAGTCACAGAGGCGCCCTGTTACCCATTATGTGGGTGGTGGTGGCAGTCACAGAGATCCCCCCGTTACCCATTATGTGGGTGGTGGTGGCAGTCACAGAGATCCCCCCGTTACCCATTATGTGGGGGGTGGTGGCAGTCACAGAGATCCCCCCGTTACCCATTATGTGGGTGGTGGTGGCAGTCACAGAGATCCCCCCGTTACCCATTATGTGGGCGGTGGTGGCAGTCACAGAGATCCCCCCGTTACCCATTATGTGGGCGGTGGTGGCAGTCACAGAGATCCCCCCGTTACCTATTATGTGGGCGGTGGTGGCAGTCACAGAGACTCCCCGTTACCTATTATGTGGGCGGTGGTGGCAGTCACAGAGACGCCCCGTTACCCATAATGTGGGCGGTGGTGGCAGTCACAGAGACGCCCGTTACCCATTATGTGGGCGGTGGTGGCAGTCACAGAGACGCCCGTTACCCATTATGTGGGTGGTGGTGGCAGTCACAGAGATCCCCCCGTTACCCATTATGTGGGTGGTGGTGGCAGTCACAGAGACTCCCCGTTACCCATTATGTGGGTGGTGGTGGCAGTCACAGAGATCCCCCCGTTACCCATTATGTGGGCGGTGGTGGCAAGATCACAGAGGCATCCTATACCCAACGTGTAGGCGGGCAATGTTTTAATGAAAGGATATTTCTACACATAAAAGAGGAATACACTAGTTTACCCAAACAAGTTATACACCACTACACTGAGGAACACTCAATAAATATTACATTTACAAGCAATGCAACCTTGCATAGTATATCATGTCATATTTATTGAATGATGAGTGTATGCTGGTGTTATCTTATCATGAGCTTACTATAGGTCTTATCACCGGGGGTGAAGTGCCCCACCACCACCCAGGGCTCCTCTGATAAGGGCAGTTCGCCCCAGTTCACCTCAGACCCGCCATTAACATTACCAAATATGGTCATCGCTCAATTCATTACCATATAAGGCCAGGTTCCACGCCAGGGCAAGGCTTATCACCTCTCAAGATACTTAGATCTTTGTAATCAGTATAACACTATATCACCAGGCACTAACCCTTTCTCACGACCCATAATACCCGTCTCATAATACCCGTCCCATCGTACCCGTCCCATCGTATCCGTCCTACAGTACCCGTCCCATCGTACCCTTCCCATCGTACCCGTCCCATTGTACCCGTCCCATATTGCTGTGAACACCAGAATAGTCTGTTTATCAAATTTTAATGATAATTGTTATTGTTCCATTCCCATTTCTGGTATGAGATTTACGTACCATTTTCCATCCTATTGGAATATCACAGATCAGCTACATCCTACTGAAGACCACAGACACCTTGTGGGACTGAGCACAGAATGCTCTACTCTTATGAGGTACACTGCCACCCAAAAGGATAGGTATGGGGTCCACTTCAGCCTGTTGAATGGGTATTGGGTCTACTACCTGTTGGATGGGTATGGGGTCCACTGCTGCCCACAGGATGGGTACGAGGATCATTGCCACCTATTAGATGGGTATGGGGTCCACTACCGCCACGTGGATGGATTTATGGTCCACTGCCGCCCACATAATGGGTATGGGGGGGCCAGTACCGTTCACAGGGTGGGTATGGGGTCCACTACCATCAACAGGATGGGTAATGTGTCCATTACCACATGTAGGATAGGTATGGGGCCTACAACCGCCCATAGGATGAGTATGGGGTCCATTACCATTCACAGGATTGGTATGGGGTCCACTACCGCACAGATATGGGGGTTAGTGACCCCGATACCTGTCCTGTGGGCGGTAATGGACCCCATACCCATCCTTTGGGTGGTAATGGACCCCATACCCGTCCTGTGGGCGGTAATGGACTCCATACCCATCCTGTGGGCGGTAATGGACTCCATACCCATCCTGTGGGCGGTAATGGACTCCATACCCATCCTGTGGGCGGTAGTGGAATCTATACTCATCCTGTAGGCGGTACTGGACCCCATACCCATCATGTGCGCGGTAGTGGATCCTATACCCATTGATCTGTAGGATGGGTATAGGATCAATAAATTAAAATCACTTAATTTGTCATTAACGAGCAATATCAAAGGGCAATTGAAAACAAATATTTAACATCATCCCGTGTTGTGTCCGGAACTTTGGGTTTCTTTATGTTATTGCATTTATTCTATATTGCAGTTGTCGAGCGGCCATTAATAGTTCTTGACTGACGGACGATTACTACTTCACTGCCGATTATATTACAAATGTTGCTCTGTTGTACCTGTTGTTCTGTTGCAATTTTACAATAGAATGTTGTATTTGGTTTGCGAATTAGATTTTGAAATTATCAACTTCAAACATTCAGGCTAGGGATCATTATTGGTTCATTAGACGCGTTCGTATTTGGGGAAGTGAAGGAGTGGCTGTTGGTCATTGACAAGTGACACTTCAGACTCGCAAAATGTTAACCAATGGGGTTGAATTTTAGGGTGAATGTCAACCAATCAGCGGCCGGGTTTGGTTGCCTGCTGGTTATAAAAGGGAAGGTGAGACAAAAAGCACTTTTTTTCACGGGAGACATCTCCCGTCACGCAGGGTGCAGTCGCACCTCCACAGATCTCCAGTATCAGCTCTTGATACTGGTAATGGCTCAAAAGGGCCACCACTTACAGGCTATTCATGCCCGTGCTACCTCTTGGGTGGCTTAATCTTCATCAATCAATCAATCAAAACGCACTTCAGTGTGTTTTACCTCACTTGGTATACAGTTCCAGGTTCGTCTCTTGGCGTTTAGCTGTATGTGGAGGATTCCCTCCCCCCCCCCCCCTTTGTTGTGTCTCCCTTTCTCATGATTCCCCGTACCGGAGCTAGTGAAGTGTATTGGGGGGAGGGGAGGAATATCATGATATCATATCATCATATGATATGATATATGATAACTTGAAATCGTTTCAGATATGAAACGAGGGCTGGTAAGAACTACCATTTCTCATGGTGAGTGAATACTAATACGTACAGCTGGGATCAAGCCAACTCTTACTGCTAGTCTTTTGGCAGAGGCTTCCAGCTAGACTCAAAGATAAGGATGACTTCAGTGTTACAGCCAGAGGTGAGTTTACTTACCAAAGCCATTACAACTATATAGCACTTGGAAGGGATCAGTATAAGGATTTGGGATGGGATGTGGGGAAGGAATGGTACCCAACCACTTGGACAGTCAGGGACTAAACGCTGGCCTGCATGAAGCTCTACCGTCTACCCAAAGTGGTTGGGCAAAATCAATAGGAGCCATGAGAATATCGTCGTCCAGTGGCTTAAGGCATGTGCTTCAGAGAACCCAGTGTGCAGGTTCAAATCTTCCCTCGAGGCTTCTATTACATTCATCTGCTGCTACTCTTACAGTAGTGAAGTGCATGTTCATGATCAGGCTTGAACCAGTATATCTAATCCCTGTGCCTAGCTGTGAATATAAATGAAAGTAGACTCGCCTTTAAACGCTTATTCCGAGGGTACCAACACTAGTAACTCGATTTAATGCTCTTTACTAAACCAAGTATTTGTGGCAGAGCTGGATATTGTTCATTTCTTACACGAGCGGTCCAGTGATGAACCCTGCACAATTTACTTATTACTTGATATTCAGTAGCAGAGGTCCAGCAAAGCAGAAACATCAGAAGTAATACCATTTAATGGGGGGGGGTGACATATATATTAAGTCCATACACTAGGATGGCAGAACTCTAAGGTATAATAGATCCCATAATTGTATCAACTGTAGGCCCTCTTAATTCAAAATAAAAATAAAATGGTGGTCTACGATTTAGAGAGAACTACAGACCCACTAGTACAGATTCTCTAATGCTAAGGTGTGGTTTCAATTTTAATTGTGTAAATATTAATAAAGCATGATAGATAAGGTACACTTGTCCATAACCGAGTCACTAAGCTGATCTAGAAGCATTAAAAAAAGCCAGACCAAACTGATTTAGAGGCAAGCATAGAGGAGCATTCAAAATCTCTCTCAAAGTGTGATTCAAACATGGTGGTAAAAATGGACAAACATTTGCAATTTGGGACACCATCTTCATTGTTAACTATAGAAATCCCTACAAATTTGTATCAATTTATCTATGTGCCATCTTTTAATTTAATAATTACTTGCATCAATTGATATTGATGGCTTCAAGGTAGAATAGTCTGAGAGCAAGAATGTCAAGGATGCTGCTGTCCATGCAGGTTTCAAAATGTGTGCAAGGACTATACAGTATCTACTTTATGCAGATGAAAACCTCGTGCCAGGTATTGGACCCCATATTATTCATTAGCAGAATTTTCCCAGAAACATGATCCACCAATTGTCTTACATGCACACCTCAATTATTACTAAGCATACAGGGGCAAGTGATGCCCAATCATATCCTCCTATGCAGGACCTTTCACCTGCAAGTGTTAACACTAGGGTTTGACACTGGATAATATACTGAGAGGCGGTGTGTAGCAATGCCATTGTATACCAAAGAGATTTTCTTCTCACCTCTCTTGCCTATTTATTGCCTCGCCTCCTTCCATCATCACAATTGACTTGAGAACGGTCCAGGACGGACCAAAACATCATCGTCCCTTCACTTTCTAATATGTGGTTTGGTCAAAATATACCAAAGAGATTTACTCTTGTAAATATAAATCCATTTTGTGAAAAACAAAAAAAAAAATAGATATTAGATATGTTGAATCAAATTTTTATTTGGACCAAATTACACAACATGCAATGACAATTTTAAAACTGGTTTAAAGAAAATGTATTACATGACATGTTATTAAAATGTACCTACCAATGGGTTACAGTTACACAGTATTGTGTCAATAATGAGAACCTAAATCACAGCACAAATTCCTTAACATAGATAACATAAAATTGTACTAAAATGATCAAAGTGTAAACTCCACACAATGAAGCAGCCATCAAAACAATGCTTAATACATGTAATAACAAAAAATGTCTTTTTTAGTAATATATAAATGATAAAAAAAAAAGAGTAGAAAATTAACTTCACTACAATGCTTTTAAATCCTTTCCAAAAATTCAAAATATATTCAATATCAATTTCTATTGAAAGAAAATTAAATCAAATTGCAGTACAGTACTTTTGTTTTAAAGGTTAAAGGTTTATATATACACAGTAAATATTAATTACTTCAGCCTAGAACCTAACCCTTAGATGAGCAACCTAAGGGAACATTTACTTTTAAATATCAAGAACATTCTCTACCCATTAATTTTCTCAAATATACAGGTATACATTAATTTTCATAAGTTATCATATTCATAGATAATTCATAAAACACATCAGAATCAGTTTCTAATTCATAGAAACATATCAAGAGACAGACATATCAGAAAATGCATGACAATTATTGTATTGACAACCAACTACTTTAGCAGTTGAAAATGCTATGAAGTTTTTTGCACATCTTTAGGCATTCCTAGCATATAAACCTTCAAAGCAATCTTAAAAATGACAAAAACTCTGCTTTACCAGTGTATAGCAACATGAACATACTGTAGTAGAAGACTGCCAAGATGAATGAAGCGTATATCAACTATTAACAGGATTTAGAACAACGTTTGAAGCCAAACAAAATATGCTTGATAATGTGGATCTTAGCTAACAAACATATTGGGTATTTTTCCTCCTGGGAAGAAAGAAGGTAAAGTAATTAGGAGAAACTTCTAAACCACAATGACTATATAGCACTTGAAAGGGACAAATTCTATATCATCCTAGATAAGCTCTTCACGTTCACCTTGAGGAAAAACAAACCATTCGTATGTGGCATTTTCTAAAAATTCAAAGAAGAGATCTGTACATTTCAAGGGATCAAAATTAGCTTTCCCACAATTCATTAAATTTCCAAAATAATTAAAGCATGGCTAAAAATCATCCATAAATTCTATGCTACAGAATGAACACTTACACAATCATGCTTGGTCATATAAACACATGAAATTTACATAAACAAAAAAAAATTGCACATTAAACCTTTTGGGCGTATTAGAATCAACAAATTTTTTCACTTTTCTCAGAGTCATTCTTCTCATCAGCAGTGTTCCAATCACCAACATCCCCTGCCATGACATCTTTGTTGCTGGCTTTGGCTGCTTCTTTCTGTAACAGAATAACATGGTGAGAAATCAAAAGGTTTCACAGTGTTGGGTACAGGTAGAACCGTTATGCTTATTGAGGTCTTGCCCTACCAACGGAAAGCCAGAAAGAGGTCAATCATAGAAAGAGAACACAGACGACACTACAAAAGATGAACAAAAATAACAGAAATGCTTAAGACATGTCTCTTTCCATACAAGGAAAGAATAATTTAAAACAGGGAGATTGAAGAAATCGAGCAGAGACTGAAGCATTCATATCAGATTTAAGAAAGGCAGCTAGCAGAAAGCAATTTAAGAAATAAAGAAAAATCCAAAATATTTCTTCACACATACAAAACCATAAGCAAAAACCGCTGCCAGTATTGGACCTATTCATACGAGTGAAGGCTCATACATTGAGGACGACAAAGAAATTAGTGAAATCATAAAACAGCAGTATGAGGATGTTTAGCACTCCAATAAACATCATGAAAGTGGAAGATCCGGATTTCCTGGATTTCTTCTTTATGCGTGATATCCAAACCCCTGTAAATATAATCGATATCAACATGAGCATTGCTGATTTTAAAAAAGAAATTGACAACATGCCCATGCACTCAGCCCTGGGTCCCAGACTCGTGGAATTCAATATTTATTAAGAAATGCAAAGTGCCAGTAGCACAGGCACTCAGTATAGTGTGGAGGAAAAGTTTGGACATGGGGGAAGATACCAGATGCACTTCAATCAGCAGACATAGCCCCTCTACACAAGGGAGGGGGCAAAGCACTGACAAAGAATTATAGACCAGTTGCACTAATATCCCACATAATAAAAGTATTTGAGAGTGGTGATCAGGAGTCAGGTCACCAGATTCATGGAGACCAATGACCTTCACAACCCAGGCCAACATGGATTTAAGAGTAGGAAGATCATGCCTCTCACAGCTACTTGACCACTATGACAAAATCACCGAGGCATTAGAAGGAAAACAGAATGCAGATGAGGTATACATGGACTTTGTAAAGGCATTCGATAAATGTGACCATGGAGTAATAGCACACAAAATGAGGTCAATGCGAATAACTGGTAAAGTAGGATGCTGGATACTCAGTTTTCTGTCGAACAGAACACAAAGGTAAGGTAAGGTAATTATCAAAAGAAGGCACCAAACCGGGAAGGCTATGTAGCACCCTCAAAATGCGAAATAATCAGAGGGGCTAAATATCACCAAGAATGCCAATACGAGAACAGAAACACAGAAGGGGAACTATATCAAAAGTATCCGATTCACCAAAAATTCTATCGAGGGACAAGTGACCTCGAGGGACAGTCGGAAAGCAAGACACATGCTCATCCTGAAAAAGACATTCAACAAGGATATGCACAACTGTAAGAGGGACAACACAATTTGGACAGTAAGGAGCAGGGCAGCGCTCCATTAAGTGACCGTGGACTGAACACAAAGAGTATCAGTCAACCATATAAAATTGAGTCCAAGTGCAGTTAAAAGCTCTGTACCTCTGGGTACAGTCCTTGATGCACCACTGCTTTTTCTTATTCTCATATCAGAAATAAACAAAAATACAAGTCACAGCTTTGCATCATCCTTTGTAGATGACACAAAAATCAGTAAGAAAATTACACTGAAAAACTACAAGCAAATATTAATAAAGTTTTCAACTTGGCAGCAGAAAATAACATGTTTAACAGTAATAAATTCCAGGTACTCAGGTACGGTATAAATTGAGGACCTTAAAACATAATACAGTACTGTACTGTACAAGGTATGAAATGAAATCAAATATGCTCATAGTAGGAAAGCAACATGTAAAGGATTTGGGAATAATGTCTGATGACCTATGTTTAGGGAGCATAACCAATCAAATATTGCGTCAGCCAGAAAAATGATAGGATGGATTACGAGAACTTTCAAATCCAGGGATCCCATCACAAAGGTGATGACCTATGTTTAGGGAGCATAACCAAGCAAATATTGCGTCAGCCAGAAAAATGATAGGATGGATTACGAGAACTTTCAAATCCAGGGATCCCATCACAAAGGTTGTACTATTCAAATCATTTGGGCTGTCCCATCTCGAGTACAGCTCGGTACTCACTTCCCCCTTCAGAGCAGGAGAGATTGCTGAAATAGAGGGAGTACAGAGAATATAGACATGATAAAGCACCTAATTATTGAGATCATCTCAAAGCTCTCCAAATAAACTCAATTAGAAAGGAGAAGAGGAAGATATCAAATAATATAAATGTGGAAAATACTGGAGGGCCAGGTCCCAAATCTATACAGTACAGTAAAATAACAACATACTAGAGTGAACGATGTGGAAGAAAATGCAAAATAGAACCAGTGAAAAGCAGGAGTGCCATATACACAATCAGAGAACACTATAAATATCAGAGGTACACAGTTGTTCAACATCCTCCCAGCGAGTATAAGAAATATTGCCGGAACAAGCGTGAACATCTTCATGAGAAAACTAGATAGTTTTCTTCAAGAAGTGCTGGACCAACCGGGCTGTGGTGGATATGTGGGCCTACGGGCCGCTCCAAGCAACAGCCTGTAGGACTAAGCTCTCAAGTCAAGTCTGGCCTCGGGCTGGACATGGGGAGTAGAGGACTCCCAGAACCCCATCTTCTCGATAGAAGGCGCAGTTTGCATGAAGGGTTTGTCCTCTTAATGACTGCACCAGTACAGACGTTGGGAGACGCATTTATGTTGAGGATAAGTTTCAAAAGTGCTTGTTGTGCTGTGCTAAGGCGGCGACTAAAACAAGTGTATGTTAGAGGGAGACTTGCCGCACCGTATAGGCGAAATGTTGTGTTCATGGTTATCTTGTGGTTATCTCAGGGCTTAGTGTCCCCGTGGCCCGGTCCTCGACCAGGCCTCCACCCCCAGGAAGCAGCCCATGACAGCTGACTAACTCCCAGGTACCTATTTACTGCTAGGTAACAGGGGCATCAGGGTGAAAAACTCTGCCCATTGTTTCGCGCCGGCACCCGGGATCGAACCCAGGACCACAGAATCACGCATTCAATGTTCTGTCCGCTCAGCCACCGGCTCCCTCTGATGTCGTCGGCTGATGAACCCCATCAAGCAAGTAACGACAGATCTTCCCTATAATGTAGCCCAAAACAGTCATCTAACTCGCATCTCACTTGCCCGGGAATTGAACTCAACCAGGTTGTAAGCCAACTATACCACACTGCCACAGGTCACGCAATTAACCATAGAAGTACCACATGACAGACCCTTACTATCTAAAAGATAAACAGCAACTTATTATGTGAGCACATAGCAATCCTCTTGCTTCTACATGTACTCACAGTAGCATTACCTCCATCACGGTGGGCACGCATGCACACACACACATACAATAATGTGTGTGTAATTAGCCTATACAAGCTAGTCTTATTAACATTTTATATTTGCTCAAACGATTAAAGTTTTGCATGCTCCCACATTTAGCAGAGTATTCCTCTGCATTAGCTGAATTTTTTCCCATGTATGTTTGTATAATACAATACAATGACAACACTATGCTATATGCTATGCTATGCCTATGCTACCCCTCACTATCCAGTATACAGTAATGCTTTATGGAAATCCTAATCCTTTTTCCATGAGCTGTCACCGTTCATTCTTGTTTCACCTTGCTGCTCACCATATCACTCGTACATCACATCAGCAGATGTGATAATGTGGAATCCAATTAAAAAACGGTAGTGTGATACAAACTGCATTTTATTTTAACTGGACTGACAGTATTCCTCTGTAACACTGCAATATGTTTTTCAAACTGAGCATAATGAGCACAGATATCTTTTGTACAATAAAAAACTATCACTTTCTATTTGGTGTAACTGAGACCAATAAAAGAGAAAACCGTACTTAATACCTATACTCAAAATTCATCACTGGATGTTTTCTCTTCAGTTTGTTGTTAATAAGGGCCACTGCTGATGCCTAACCAGTATTTTGAGTCGACATGATGGTACAATGTTCAGCATTTTTAACTATTATTATGGCATGTGAAGCTAAGAACAAAGTTCAACAGCTAGGGATGGGAACTACCGGGGGAAAGTGCCAAGCCATTATGACTATATAGCATACATATAGGGAACGGGGTTAGGATAAGGATTTGGCATGGGACGGGGTGGAAGGAATGGCATCGAATCACTTGGATGCGTCCAGTCCAAGTGGATGGACAAATAACCATATAGTACTGTGCCAAGTTTTTTTTTTTGTAATCTTGTTCTAATTATAAAACAAGTTCAAAGTAAACCAATTATGAAAAATACATATACAGTAGTAATATATTTCAGTGAACATCACTCACTGCTCTTACCGCTTTGTCTTGTCTGGCAAACTTTTCGAACATTCCAGTGTATATCTGCTTCTCCTTCAACCTATCTGCCTTCATCCTGGCAACACACAGCTGCAACTGCTGCTTGGCTGCCTTATTGTTTGGTTCTACCTCAAGGCAAGCTTCGAAGTCATTTTTGGCTAAATTAGGTTCACCCAAATTTAGGTATGCCTGCAAGAAGACAGTATTTCAATACATACATGAATTATCATTATACCTAAAACTTAACAATTCATATTGTTCATGAAGCCACCACCAGTATACAACAGTTCTATACACAAGTTCCTTATTAATGACATTTTATAAGACTGAAGGCATCCTCCTACACTGTATCACACTAATAAGTATTAATGGTATCTTGAAGAAATTAAGAACAACATAAGGACACAGTAGACAACCTTAAAAAATACTGGTTCAAAAATGCACAAGGGGAGGAGGAAGGTAATTACCAAGGGAAAGCACCAAGCCATTATGACTATATAGCACAGGGAAGGGATCAGGATTTAGGATGGGATGGGGAAAGGAACGATGCCCAACTACTTGGACGGTCAGGAATTGAACATCGACCTGTGTGATGCAAGACTGTCGCTCTACCGTTACAAGGGAAGGGGAGTACGAATTATTCAAGGAAAGTGCCAAACCATTATGATTATATAGCACTGGGAAGGGGTCAGGATAAGGATTTGTGATTGGACGGGGAAAAAGAATGGTACCCAACCACTTGGACGGTCAGGGATTGAATGCCGACCTGCATTAATTGAGACCGTCTCTCTACCGTCCAGTCCAAGTGGTTAAGAATAAGCTAAGAATATTAAGTTAGTACCATTTAGTATTGAATGGCTTCAAAAATACTATTTACTACAATACAGTACTATTTAAGAGCACTGTTTAGTAACTAAATAACTAAATATTGAACCGTTATATCAAATGATAAAACAGATTCCCGAGGTAAATACAGCATACATTATTTAATAACTTCTTGAAAAATTATGAGAATGAAATCCCAATAATTACTAAGATTTAACAATTAACTGGCTATTATTACCTAATAAAAAGATAAACTCTTTTATATACAAGCCCCTACTGTACTTTGATGCATGTGGTAAAATCACAAACTATCATTTATGAAAATAATTAAATGAGAGCATCTTGGATTTTTTATAAGCGTACATGATATATTTACAATTTTCCTAGTCTCCTAAAACAGACGACGTTTAATTATAGGGAACGGCTTCAATCAAATTTTCAGGATATATTACAATGTAATTGCTGTAATGTGAAATTATGTACTGTATATCAAACTTTGTCGTGTGACTGGTGCTGCCATCAAATGGTGGTCAGGTGGCAGGTAGCTCGGTAATCAGTAGTTAAAAGAGCTGTCCTGGTGACCCCAATTATTGGTTGAAGCAGCAGCCAAGTGGTTTCTTCATTCCTTTTGTATTATACCAAGTGGTTGCTCTGATGGTTGACAATATTTTCCACCATCTCCCTTTCCCAATTACATGGCAAGACTATTTGCAAGGCTCCTCATCTTGGTGGAGCAAAGGTCGACAAGTCATTGCAACTATCAGTGTGTGGCCCTTGGTTGTTGACTCAAGTTGTTTTAAGAAATGCTCCTTAAGGGAAAGCAAAGTGAGAAATGCTAAGTATTGATAAACATACAGTAGTTAAGACACACTTACCTGCCCTCTTCTGAAGTAAGCTTTAACATTTTTCTTATCCATTTCAAGGGCCTTGCTAGCATGCTCTTTTGCAAGAGAGTTTTCACTCATTTTAAGATATGCCATTGCAAGATTTAAATGCCCTGCTAGCAAGATTGCTTGACTTTCAGCTTTTTTCTCATCATCCAAACCTGAAATGCAAGCACAATTATTGGTCAAACCAAGTATGTATCTATACTGCTTTTACTGTAATGATCTTTTAAGCCTACATATAAAAAGATTACTATATAGTACAAAAACAAAATTCTTTACGTTTACTGGCAGGGAAGATATCAGCTCTAAGATGAAAGAGCAGAACAGCTTCCCTTCTTCATGAGACTAAATGTTCAACATTTTGTGTGTTGTCATATATAATCATTTCCCTGGTTATATTATACTGAATTGTATTGATACTTGAAAGTTTTCTATATAAGACCACTAAACATGCAATGCAAGATTTTCTCTGCCATATATTACTGGTCAGAACAAAAGCTGACCCAGTCATGATAAAATGGGAGAAAATGCAATGCACTTATTTAACAATCTTATTTAACTATTATAATTTCTTCCTCGGTGATCTCACAGCACTACCCGCCAAACACACACCGAAACTACGACATTGGTACAACGTTCAAACAAGTTTTAACACCTCCTGACCAGTTCTAGCAACCAATATAGCAAGTTGTAACAACGTTCTAATATGTCATAAACACGTTAAGCCAAGATGTAACAACTTTATTACAAGTTGTAAGAAGGGGAAAATAGAGACAGTTTTGGTTTGTGTTTCCAAGGTATACTCACCGGAATCATACTCCAAAAGACCAATAATCTTCTTGTACTGTTTTGCTGCAAGTTGATATTTATCTTGCTTTAAGAAATTTGTTCCTCGATCTTTGCACGCCTTGGCATGTTCAATTTTCTCTTCCTGGTCCATCTCCCAGGACTCCTTAGCCTTCTCAAAACTCCTCATCTCGACCTCATATACTAAAGAAGCACCAGGTGGAACACCAATGGCTGCATTTCCTGCAGATCCAAATGCATACTGTGGGAAAAAAAATTACCAGTCAGTAGAATTAAAATTAGGATCCATTTTCTTCACATGGCAAATTTTCAGATGTAATGTCATTTTTACCTTTTGCTATTTAAGCCTTCTTGTACTAAACTTTGAGAGACTATGATCTTGGCACAACTCTACCTTCCAGTGAGATGTGTACTGTACTCCAACTTTCTAAGCTAGGAGTATTTATCTATACAGAAATCATAATAGCGTGATATATCAAATGAACAAGTCCACAAAGGGGGATGAGGGGTTTGAGCCCAATGCACGGGATGTTCCCAGATGCACCTTAGTCAACTGTACCATGACATGGAAAAGAATTGCAACCTGGAGTGCTACTTCCCTCACTCATCACCCTCCTCACAGCCTTGTGGATGTGTTCAGTATTTATCTGTTGTGCAGGTGTCTGGTATATTAATCAGTCCTTTCACTAAAGGTTAGCCCCGAGAAGGTTAATCAATGCTTCCGCAAGTACTAAAAAAAAAAAAAAAAAAAATTATCCACGTGTTCAGTTTCAATTATTTTGCACGATCACGTACTGCCTGAATTTAACCACTGCACTGCACAGTGGTTGAGGAACTCCCGGCCTTAAAGTTAAAAAATATTCGAATTATGTGAAAATTATTTGAAAATAAACAAAACTCCAATTATTTCGCATCAGCACTGTTAAAGTTTCATCAAAATGTTAAGAAATGGATTTAATATGAATATTAAACAAAACAAAAAAAATTTGATAAGGAAAACAGCTCCTATTAAATGGAACTGAGGGATAATGCAGTAATAATGAGATGCAAACACCTGTCCGACACACAAAGATGATGATTAGTAGTAAAGAAGGTCTACAAAGTGGATATTCAGCTGGTGCCTTTCTATCACTGCTGAATATTACATAATAAATAATAATGAGAATGTTTTTACGCTGTATTTTCTTATAAATCATAAATACATTGCCCTATGCAATGTATTTGCTATTATTGAAGTAAACCTGTTACTTCCACCAATGTTATTTGACGGGAGGAGGGGTTTACCTTCTCTCTCCTTTGTTTATCTGATTTTTGTTGTGGTTTCTACATCTTGGAGAAAGATGTAGAAACCCTTCACTAAGATGTAGAAACATCCCTTCACTAAGGATGTGAAGTTGGAACAAAATTGGTCAACACATGAATCAGCCACAGGTGATAGAACATGCGATTTAATTGTTTGGGGCCCAAGTTATTACAGATTTTAAAACTATTTTCTTTGTCTCTTTAGGTTGTATTGATGAATAGGGACCAGATGCGGGCCTTATCACTTATATAAAGTATACTTATCATCCTTATTAACCCATTATCCTCATCCCTATATATATTTTTTTAGGGGGGGGGGAGGGAGTATTTTTTCTTGCCCTCATTTCAACACATACTGACCTACAGCTTTCACATATTCGAGTACGAATGCCAAGCAATATTTATTAAAACATACACGAATATTCATAAATTAGAACTACCATATTCATTGTCAATAACTTCAACTTCAATTATCTCCATGAACAGGATTTTCAATTTTTAGAGACAAGCTGTTAAATTCAGTTTCTGAGCGATTCTCACTATTTTTACATGTGCTAAGTTCTTAGTTCTAGGAGGAGGTCTGGTCGAGGACCGGGCAGCGGGGACGCTAAGCCCCGAAATCATCTCAAGGTAACCTTAAGGTAACCTAAGGTTTCCTCTACTAGTTTATTCATAAACCCATAACTTTGGGAGTTCTATATTTTTACCTTAAAATTTTGCACATGTTTTGAAGGCCACATTGACTTTTTTGTTTTTTACAGTAAACTATACTCTCAAACTAAATTTTGTCCAGAGGAAAATTAATGTTATATGCCATTCTGAGCCCATAATGAATAAAATAAAAAATGGTGAAATTAAATTCATGAAAAACTGAAATTATTTATCAATAAATTTTTTTGTTTGTTCCTGTTCATGTTATGATATTGAACTATTTGGAAAAGTTGGAGCATTTACCACGCAGATTATGCACACAAAATTTGTGTTTGAGAAAGGTTAATTATTTGAACTCCCGGCCCCACTGTATAGTGTTTTTAGGTATAGGGAGCAATTCAAAACTCCCGCAGCTACACAGGGCTCACATCCTGTGCCTCTGTACGACAGTAAACAGACACCATCTTAAAACAAAAAAACAAAAAAAATCAGCATCTATACTAGCTATGAGTGTTTAAACTTTTTACATTTTCTAGATTTTTTTTCACTAGACAGTTTTATTAATTTCATTAATATTTGGGGTTTAGATACACAATTCCATGTGTAACACATTCACAGTGTGGGAAGTAGAAAAATTCCAAAACTGTGGTATGGGAATGGGAAACCTAATGTGGTCGAATTCACCGATATGAGATTAATTACACTTAAAAAAAAAAAAAAAGGAAGAAGAGGCAGAAGTAGAATTAATAAGAAGCAAACGTACAAATCAAATGCACTTACATTTGACGAAAGACTGATTGTTGATTTTTCTCCCTTCTTGAATTTCTCAAGTGCACTCTCTAAGCCTTCTGGAATGTTGTGCTCTATTCCCTCACCTAGTGGGAATTTCACGTCTCTGTCATCAAACACTGTACCATTCACTCGTCCAGTAATGTGAACTGAAATAGAGCAAAGTTGCTATTATATTTGGCTTGAATTTTGTTATTTTAAGTTTCACGCCAATACAAAGATATTCTAGAAATCTTAAAAAGGAAACTTCAAGCATAAAAAAATAAGAAAAAATAAAGCTGACAAAACCATGTGCCAGATTCACGAAGCAGTTATGCAAGCACTTACGAACGTGTACATCTTTCCACAATCTTTGACGGCTTTGGTTACATTTATTAAACAGTTTACAAGCATGAAAACTTGCCAATCAACTGTTATTATTGTTATAAACAGCCTCCTGGTGCTTCGGAGCTCATTAACTGTTTAATAATTGTAAACAAAGCCCCCAAAGATTGAGAAAAGATGTACAGGGTTCGTAAGTGCTTGCGTAAATGTTTCATGAATCTGGCCCCATACTGGGAATACTTCAACAATAAACTGTATTAAATTGCTTGATAAGTCAATTACTTAATTATATCTAAAGTAACAGAATAAGAATAAGTACCACCTCTGGCTGGTAGAACTGGGATCTATAGCCTTGGAGAAAAACACACACAGCATTCTAAGGGATTTATGAGTCCCCTCCAATGCATTTTCCATGTTCATAATCTAAAACATTCAATACAGTTACCTTGCATATTTTTACAAATCCACCCCATTACACATTAAAATTATTTACCTTTTTTTTTGGAGAGGGGAGGGACACAAAAGTAATAAAATGTAACATAAAAGGAAAGTACTGCAATGAGAGTATTGTACTGAAGACTAGAAGTCACCGTGTTAACATGTACAAATGTGGCCACTTGTGTAAACCCTTGTTCATGGTTATTTACATGGGTGTGAATGCTGTGTAGACATTATCAGTAATAGTACAGAACACTGCAAACCTACCATCCACAACTGCGCTTTCATTGGGGGTTTGGTAGCCTTCTCCGGGCACAATGTTCCTTCTCATTATACCCCCATCTTTCTTTAGACTGATATCCTCACCCTGCCACTCAAACAACTCAACCTACCAAGGAAGACTGTATATAAGCATACACATAAAGTAAATACTTTTAAATATTTTAAAGCAATCCATGCTAAAATATTTAATACAGTACCAGTGAACAAGACAAAGCTAAACATGGCAGAGATATTGAAAATAAGACATTTGATTTCTTGAACAATCTGCTGGCTTAACTGGTTGACTGGTCCTGCTGCTTCCATGGACAGGACCAGTCAACATTTTGCTCTAGAGCTACGCAGACTGTCTTGAACATGCTCTCCAGGGGCCAGATTCACGAAGCAGTTACGAACCTGTACATCTTTTCTCAATCTTTGGCGGCTTTGTTTACAATTATTAAACAGTTAATGAGCTCCGAAGCACCAGGAGGCTGTTTATAACAATAACAATGAGTTAATTGGGAGGTTTTCATGCTTGCAAACTGTTTAATAAATGTAAACAAAGCTGTCTAAGATTGAGGAAAGATGTATACATTCATAAGTACTTGTGTAACTGCTTCATGAATCTGGCCCCAGGTCATACTGGTGCAAGCCAGATACTTTTAAATACATGTTACCATTTTATAAGAAAAACAAGTAAAATAATCTTCGCTTTTTCAGCAGTCTCGGTGGCAATTCCGACAAGTTGCATTTTGAACGTTAAGACAATTTTCCAATCTTGTCATTTCACAAGGATACATTGGAGATTTTGCATTTCTGAGCACCTAGTATTTCTAGTCTTATTATAAATTTTTGCAGAATGTTAAAACATTTATACATATATACACAGGATAAATATATCTTTAGTTGCTTTATAAAACAAAGCCTTGCTCACTAACCTCAAACACTAAAGTTGCATTGGGTGGTATCTTCGGTGGACTGCCCTGCTCCCCGTAAGCATATTCACTCTTGCATATTAGTTTGGCAATCTCTCCCTTCTTCATACTAGCCACACCTAAGTCCCAAGCCTTAATAACCTCACCTGTGAAGAAAAAATTTGATAATTTGCCAATATCCTTTATACCACCACCAAACTGTGCCCGAATAAGCGACCAAAAAGAAACAATAGTGTTTCCAAGAGTCGCAAGGCCAGATCCTATCATGTAATACTGTAACATCAAACAAACATATCTACAAACACCACAAACAATTTTTTTAACATTTCCTGTTGTGAGAAATAATAATAATAATAAATACTGTAGTCTAGTACAGTTTTTAAATACATGCGGGATACCTAAAAGTCCCTTTCTACCTGCTCCTTTATGCCAGTACTGTACCTACTTTAGCTGCAAGAGTCCACCCAGTACACTAATCACATGCGCTATTAGGCAACATTTTACCCACTGTGGAAAACAAATTTTGTATATGGTCTAGTTACATAATTGAGACTGAGGAAAGTGGGACCCAGACATCATACACAGTTCAGGAACTAGGAATAAATGCCTAATTTAGGACAAAATTAAAACAACAGAGTACATTTGCCCCTCAATATATATATTTTTTTAGAAATACACTAATTGGAATCTTCCTGATTATCTAGCATTTCAAACGTGTGTGTAGTTTTCTTACCTTTCCCAAGGGTAAAGGCAAAGCGCTCCCCTCTGTCGCGACTCGAGTCAAACTTTGATCCATCTTCGGCAAGTGTTCCTACATAATGTACAAATACACGGTCACCTTGCCATGGACCTTCCTCACCCTCCCCTGGTTTCAAGATCTGTGGATATTGGCAAAAATTTATGTTTTGGATGTAACACTAATTCTTAGAAACAGCACATAAGCAACTCTAATACCTAAACATCAGTCAATAAACAAAAATTTTTATAGGAGCACATGATACAGTAAGAGCCTTGACCAGATGAAAGTCACATTAAAATTAATCATTATACCCTGTAGTAGTTCTGCAAATATCACACATGCAATGTTAAGCACAATTATATACAATATCAAACAAATGATAAATTTACATAAATGCGCACACACACTTTTCATAAACATAGGTACTACAGTATCAGGAATTTTCTACATATTAAATAAAAATCTTTAAAAACAACATACTGTACTGAATACCTTGATAATATTGAGCATGAACCTTTCAACCAGTTATTACATACATAACAAACCTTGAATATATTAAACTTACATAGAAAAGCACTTCGTACTCATTTGAATTTTGGGGGCGCAAAATGTAAAAATATTGTAAATTAATGACCGTTGGTAATTAGTACAGTATATTTATAGTCATTAGAATCTACTTTAACCAAATTATAGCTTATTTTTAGACGGTGTTGTCACAAGTATTGTACACACAACACAAAGCTAGGTACATTGTATTAAGAACTATGAGGTGCTGAACTTGCCGCATCTTAATTGTATTACAGCATATTGCTGAAAGCACTAGAGCTGTCTAACTGAAATGTAATGGTCTAACCTATCTCAGCATACAGTGATGTATCTACAATTTGTTAAGGGACCCTTGTGCCTTGCAGGGTCTGACAAGTGCAAGACAAAGCCTTAAAAACTACAACTGCCAGAAAACAGCAGCCATTGAGCCTACTGAATATCAACATTTGTGGGGCTATCTTGAGGTTATCTTGAGATGATTTTGGGGCTTTAGTGTCCCCGCGGCCCGGTCCTTGACCAGGCCTCCACCCCCAGGAAGCAGCCCGTGACAGCTGACTAACACCCAGGTACCTATTTTACTGCTAGGTAACAGAGGCATAGGGTGAAAGAAACTCTGCCCATTGTTTCTCGCTGGCACCCGGGATCGAACCCGGGACCACAGGATCACAAGTCCAGCGTGCTGTCCGCTCGGCCGACCGGCTCCCTATGAGGTTCCATGGCTGTGACAGATGAAGAGGTGTGTATGATGCTACTTTGCCCAATACAGTGTCAAGGCATTAACATCACATCTCAATCAGACAGTACAGTAATTTCAAAACTAATGCCTAGATCTGGTACATGCTGCCATTGGTTGGTGATAATCAAACATCACCCTTAGCAGTTCCATTAAACCTGCTAAGAATGTCTCCCACATATCACCACACTAACAACAATTGTGTAAACATTACAGGAGTTGATGTGCAAGCTTGGCTTGCACCTCATCATTTGCAGATTATTTTTTTTAAACCCAGACATATGTTTCTTAAATATCAATATTAGTATTTCTATATTAACAAAGACCTGACCTTTATTAAGAATTTGACATTTTGTTTATAATTCCTGGCATTTTGCACTTACCTCCTTCAAGACACCGCCATCCTTATTGGGAGTAACATCAATGGCCTTGCTGTTAGACTCTTCACCACTCATTTTCAGCAATTATAACACCTGCAAAAAAAGTATTCAGAGGTTACAAGATAAAAATTCCTTCGATACAAGAAAAGAAATAAGGGGGTATGACACAATACTCCTGAACTGTTACTGTACAGTATTATCAAATTAAAATTGGGAGAAAATAATAATCCAAACTATCACGAAGAATTATTTTATATTATTTGAACTTCATAATGTATATTTATATGAAATTTTATTATACAGTACTGTATTTTTCATAATTCTATATCACCTAGCAGAAAAATGGACAATTTTTTTATCACAACTTCACTTCATAATGATATCCTTATAGAGTATTGGTATACTGTACAGTGGAACCTCTACAAATTTTTCGGGTTACGAGCTAAATTTATTTGTGAAATTCGAATCTGTTTGCGAACTAGTCGATACACGTAGGGATCGACCAAGCACATGGTTCCTGGTGGTATAGGCGACCGCGCTTAAGTTTGCCAGTGGCTCCCACTTAGTGACATTTGCACTTGAATTTTTTTTAAAGAATTTCATTGTTTTTCAGCTTTTTTGCTTTCTAAACAAATGTAGTTATTATATACCATACCATACCATGGGTTCCTCAACAATTAATAAGTGGTGTATGGTATGGGAAGAAATGCAAAGTTTTGTTGAAACAACTCATACAAATCAGGCTGCAGTAGGTCATTGCTTTAACCTTTTTAAAGACACTGTGATGCCTCACTACAGACAAGTGTTAAAACATAAGGAAAAACAAGTCTCTATTCTTAGTGAGAACAACAAGCAGTGAGCCACAACCAGGTCCTAGTGGTATGCAGGCAAAACATAAAGAGAGTACCCCAGAGAAGTCATCCCTGATGTTTATAATGGAAGGGGACTCCCCCTCCAAACATCTCTCCTCCTCCCCTCGCCTTCTGACCATCTTCTATACGCCAACAAGTCATTAGCTGTAACTTGTACATACCATAGTACAAAATAATTGTGTGTATTATGTATGAAATGTATTTTGAAGTTAATATTTTTGGGAGTGAGGAACAGATTAATTCAATTTACATTATTTCTTATGGGAAAATTTGATTTGGGTTGCGAATTTTCGGTTTACGAGCTGTCTCTGGGAATGGATTAAATTTGTAAACGAAGGTACCACTGTACTGTATCTCAATACACGAGCAGTTTAATACAAAAAATAAGGAGCAGCAGTTTAATAAATAAAGAGCACAGGCTTGTGTGGAGCTTGGGTTTATGTGGAGCACGGGAGTATATGGAGCATGGGCTTGTGTGGTATCCACTTGCTTTAACGACCTATATGAGGCTGAACCCAGGTCGTTAAATCCGGAGGTTTTAAAATGTCGGTAACTGTTTAGTCGTATTTGGGAGAGCAACAGGATGGATGGTGGATGGGCTGGCTGGGTGGCTGGCTGATTAGTTAATTGGCTGATAGGTGGGTGGGCAGGCAAGTGGGCTGGCTGGTAGGTGGGTGGGGTGGATGGATGGGTGGATTGGTTGCTGACTAGCAGGGGGTCTTTAGGCAGGGTGGATGGGTGGGTGGGTGGGTGGCTGACTTGTGGGCAAGCATGGTGGATAGGTGGGCTGTTTTGGGTGGGTGAGCTGGTGGTCACTCTTTCTTCAGGCAAGCAGCTTCTGGGTGGGTAGGTTCAGGCAGGCAGCTTCTGGGTGGGTAGGTTCAGGCAAGCAGCTTCTGGGTGGGTAGGTTCAGGCAGGCAGCTTCTGGGTGGGTAGGTACAGGCAGGCAGGCTGGATTTGACTGGAAGGGTGGTAGGCGGGCAGGTAGACTATCACAGACTGGCTGTGGTCACGCCCGATCCATCCCCTCAGCTCCCCCATCCCCATTACATCCTACTCCCCCCATCCCCACACCAGATCCTCCCAGAAATACCCCCCACCCCCTCAAGCCGTGTCTAGACAAACTGTATGGGATTAATACATTAATTCAGTACAGTTCAGATTCTTGGCTTTCTTCTTACCAGCTGGTGGCCTTGGAGGCAGACTGCCCTGCCTGCCATCTATATTTATTTATGTATTTATATACAAGAAGGTACATTGGATTTGTGAGAGCACAATGTTAGTGTTCTCTAAACAACATCAGACATGTTGTTTACAAACTGTGAATGCCTAACTGCCTTTGACTGATTATGACTGACTGTGACTTGTGATTGTGAATGCCTGACTGACTGTGACTTAACTATGGCTGCCTCTGACTGGTTGTGACTGACTAGCTGACTAAATGCTACATAACAAGCAGTGAAATCAGTGAAGGGAAAATTGTAACTGCTGCCCTAGCGACAGAGAGGTTGTCACAATAAATGAAAATGCCTTCCAGTTTAACACATACCGGACTCTGTAAACTCAATACCGTACTCCGGATTTAATGGTCAGTGACTGTAAATAAGGCACCAGTTAACGATCTAAAATTTGGTTGCTAGAACCGGCATAATGGCAAATATGAGGTCCTTAAATCGTCCTCCATATATATGGAGCACGGGAGTATTTACCTGAGGGCCACTAGTGTTAGTGGCCTCGAGGAGGACAGAAAGCCAGTGGCTTATCAAAGTTCCACCTCATTTGTCCTGATAATTTTTTCCAGCTGGATTTTAAAGCTCAACAGAGTTTTGGCATTTAGGGCTTTGGCGGGTAGGCTGTTCCATTGGTTTATAACTCTGTGAGTGAAAAAGCATCTCCCATTTTCAGTCCAACACCTTGGCTTGCCGAGCTTAAAACTGTTACTCCTTGTCTGCATTACATCTGATTTTTTGTACGTGAGTGGATGGAGAACAGGCGTACAAGGAGCAAGGATGTGCACACTTTACACCATGAAGTCTCAAGACGGCATCATGCCTCCTTTTAACCACTCTTTACAATTCCAGCCTATATAGGCAGGTTAGAATTGCAGTAACAAAATTTCGAATAGCAATTAAAATTACATAGAATTTTAGCGCTCCCAAAAAAACAACCGTATTTGTACAATTCATGTATTCATTGATCAATTGCTGAACTATCCTGACGCAGTGCCTATCCCAAGTGCCAGGTTGCATGCCTTTAGGGGAATGAGGCCTATGCCGCCAACGGCCCTGCCGTGTGCAACACTGAATTACTAGCCATTATTTGTACATAAGTAACATCAATTGTGGAAATACTATCTTTTAATGACTCATCTTGTCACGGGATTGTCACAAGACAATAAAACTGAGACGTTTCCCACCAAGATCTGTCAATGGAACTCTGAAGATACTTCTAGAAATGTGATCGTGATCATTGAATGTTTCGGTGTCAAGGTGCCGGTTTATTATTATTATCAGCCCATAGAGCACGGCTCTGTGCGTCAGGTAACCCTGAACTACGACTACACTGGACGACCAACCTGACGGTCACGACCTGGAGGAGAGAGAGAGAGAGAGAGACGCGGATGTTGTTGTGTCCTTCCCGCCAGGCGGCTGCTGCTGTACTCAACGCCAAACTTGCTAACAGTAGCGCTTCCAGCTCAACCTTAGCGCTGTCTGCTGGGTTATAGCATTCCCCTATTCTATTCTAGCGCTTCTAGCTCAACTTTAGCGCTATCTGCTGGGTTATAGCATTCCCCTGTTCTATCTTAGCGCTTCCAGCTCAACCTTAGCGCTGTCTGCTGGGTCATAGCACTCCCCTGTTCTATCTTAGCGCTGTCTGCTGAGTCATAGCACTCCCTGTTCTATCCTAGCGCTGTCTGCTGGGTCATAGCACTCCCTGTTCTATCGTAGCGCTATCTGCTGGGTCATAGCACTCCCTGTTCTATCCTATTGCTATCTGCTGGGTTATAGCACTCCCTGTTCTATCCTATTGCTATCTGCTGGTCAAGGCGGGTCAAGGGAACTTGCCCGAAACGCTACGCGTGCTAATGGCTGTACAAGAATGTAAGAACTCTTGTATATATACATAAAATAAAGAAAGGGGGTGGTAGGAGAAAAAGCACAGAAACTGTATTGGGGACCTAAACATTCCCTCTAATGCGTTATGTGTGGTTTCCTCCGAGGCTAAGGGTTCCCCTTCTTCCAGCCAGAGGTAGTATTCTCTTTCCTTTCAAATAAATGAATAAAAAAATCTCAAGTGCTGTCTGTTCTAACTTAGCTCTCGCTCTCTTTACCTTTAGCGCTTTTTGCTGAATCTTAGCGAGCTTTGCTCAACCATAGCACCTTCCATTCCAAAGTCTGTTTTATCTTTATTGAACGTGTGATATTAATCTAGTATTTCTTCTGGTATCGACAAAAATTAAGTAGATAATGTTCCTTCGATTTTTAAGGATCTTTTTTTTCCAAAACACAATTTCCACACAAAAAATCTCATAGTCATAGAAGCGTCTAGAAAAGTTGACTTGCTGACCGGGGAAATTGAATTGTTATATGTAGACTTCAATAACGTTTTATCATTAAATAGCTTATAACAATGTTATAAGGGTTCTATAGCACAGTAGTCCATACGTCCGCTATTCACAAGTGAGGGACTCGTCCTGGTCCAATCTTCGAGCTCGACAGAAATGATTGGGCACGGTTCTTCTCACTCGATGCACCTGTTCACCTGACAGTAAAACGCTAGGCAATTGTTGTTGGTTGCATCCTGGGGAAGCCAGTAGATGGCCTACGGGGACATCAATAAGTCTTCCTGTTCCAGACAACGGCAATTATATGTATATAATGTTTTTACGATCAACATTTGCATGATGATAAGTCAACTCTTTATTTTCTTCTCCGAGGCTATGGGTCCCTACACTTGCACCAGATGTGGTACCCCTTCTAGGTTTAAAAAATATATATATGTGTGTGTGTCAATACTTAGTATTAAAACCCCAATATAAGACTATTAACAGTTAAAATCTTCTAATTAACAGGCATATGGCCACTGCCTTTTGAACGAAAGGCGGTGGAGTTTCTGATGGGGAAGGAAGAGACATTTGCGCATCGCGTTCCGCAAGGCGCGGTACGGCCAGCCTGGGTGGCATAAAAAGCGCGAGAAGTCAGGTCTCGCTCACCATCTGGTCACCATTTGGTCCGGGAGACATCTCCCGTCACGCAGGGTGCAGTCGCGCCTCCACAGATCTCCAGTATCAGCTCTTTATACTGGTAATGGCTCAAAAGGGCCACCACTTACGGGCTATTCATGCCCGTGCCACCTCTTGGGTGGCTTAATCTTCATCAATCAATCATCAGGTCTCGCTCTCACTCCCTCTCCCGACCCGGTCCACGATCCATGAAGCGGCTCCACGCTCAGCACCACGCCTCATCGACACGTGGGCCAGTATCCTTACCGCTTCTCAGTTCTGCTTTGCTGTGTTCACGAGATTTCTCAAGCAAATGGACTCCATCCCCGCTACTATGGTCCCAGATCTGATGTTCTCTGATCCTTTGGGGCTTTCCACATCCCAGGCCGGTACCGCAGGGGCCCCCCTGCCCTACCCAGCAAACCCTAAGGTAAGAGAGTTTCCTGTACATGTTAGTCAGGACTACCCCCAGTGCTGGCGTGTGTTTGCGCCGTCCCTCGCGGCCCGTTCGTGCCGCTTAGCTAGTTCTCTAGGGTCTTCCGCCTGCTTGCCTTCCTGGGGTTGCAGGCGCGCCTCCAGGTCGGGACTGGTGCGCTGGTTATCTGCGGCGACTTCATGTGGCCAGGTTTCGGTGGTCCTGTGCCCTGGGGCCCGGCCCTATTGCATGCTCGGTGGACCTTTCGTCCCAGGTGTGCCCTCCCCGGTTTGCTGTGCCCCTAGGCTTGCCCTAGGGGCCATGTTTCGCCCGCGCCTGGCCGTGCGTGCACGGCCAGGCTCCTTCTGTGGTCTGGCATCGCCCTCTGTGGCGACGCCACGCGGCGGTTTCCGGGGTTCTGAGCCCTGGGGCCCAAGCCCGGTAGGCGGCGCCCACGTGGCTTGGAGCTCGGTGAAGCACTCGCCCAGGGCTGCCCTTCGTTTTCTTCCCCGTCCCAGGCGTTTTTTCCCTGGAACCTGGTTTGTTGCGCCTTCTAGGCTTGGCCCTAGGGGCCAGGGTTCGTGATGCGCTCGGCCGTGCGTGTCCAGCCAGGCTCCCTGCGAGCGTCCTGGCGTCACCCTGGTGGCGACGCCTCCTGGCCGGGTTTTTTAGTTGTCTTTGCCCCTAGGGCCTGACCCTAGGGGCCCATGCCAAGGTCGGCATCACCCACGTGGCATGGCGCTCCGAGGAGAGCTTGCCTTGGGCTGTGTTCGCTTCCTTCCTGTCCTTCTCCCTTCTCGCCCTCGGGCAGGAGACGCCCTTGTGGCGGCGGTGCCCCGGTGGGTAGGCCCAACACTTTCTTGTTAATGGCTGCCTTGCGCCAGCCGGTGTCGTCCGGCATGTTCTTCTTCAGACGTTGGCTGGACGGTGTTGCCCTGCTTGTTCGTCCCAGTTGTTTGTCCGTCCGGTGTTGCTCGTTTTGTCCGTAACTAGGCGTTTTGTCTGGCTGGTGCATGTAGACCAGCCTGTTCGTCCTAGACGTTTGTCTGGCTGGTGTAGACCAGCCTGTTCGTCCTAGACGTTTGTCTGGCTGGTGTAGCAGCCTGTTTGTCCCTGTAGTTTGGCTGGCCGGTGTAACCCAGCCTGTTCGTCCCAGACGTTTGTCTGGCTGGTGTAGCCCAGCTCGTTTGCCCCAGACGTTTGTCTGGCTGGTGTAGCCCAGCTCGTTCGCCCAGACGTTTGTCTGGCTGGTGTAGCCCAGCTCGTTTGCCCCAGACGTTTGTCTGGCTGGTGTAGCCCAGCTCGTTCGCCCAGACGTTTGTCTGGCTGGTGTAGCCCAGCTTGTTCGCCCAGACGTTTGTCTGGCTGGTGTAGCCCAGCTTGTTCGCCCAGACGTTTGTCTGGCTGGTGTAGCCCAGCTCGTTCGTCCCAGACGTTTGTCTGGCTGGTTTAGCCCAGCTCGTTCGCCCAGACGTTTGTCTGGCTGGTGAAGCCCAGCGTGTTCGTCCCAGTTGTTTGTCTGGTCGGTGTAGCTCAGCTTGTTTGTCCCAGACGTTCGTCCGGCTGTTGTAGCCTCGCTTGTTGGCCCTAGTCGTTTGTCTGGCTGGTGTAGCCCAGCTTGTTCGTCTCAGCTGTTTGTCTGGCTGGCGCAGCCCTGCTTGTTCGTCACAGACGTTTTGTCTGGCCGGTGTAGCCCGTTCTGTTCGTACCCAGTCGTCTGGGATGGCCGGTGTTTCCCGGCTTGTTCGTACCCAGTCGTCTGGGATGGCCGGTGTATCCCGGCTTGTTCGTACCCAGTCGTTGGGGCTGGCCGGTGTATCCCGGTTTGTTCGTCCCCAGATGTTTGCTGGCCCGGTTACCCACGTTATTCGCCCCAGCAGGTGGTCCTGACCGGCGTAGACCGGCCCGTCTGTTCCATGACGTCTCGTCCACTCGGCGTAGCCGCCTGTTGTTCCCGCACGTACACGTTCCCTCCTGTTTCCCTGTCCTGTCCTACTCCAGCGCAGGCGCATGCCGTCGGGCGGTCTGTCCGCTTGGGTGGGCTATGTTATGTTATTATCTTTTATTTAAGTTTCTAAATTAATTTATTGCATTGTTCAGCTTACAGTTATGCCTTGTATTTACTTACTATTCCTCTTGCAGCGTTAATGCAGTGTCCATTGCTGTGGGATACTCAACTAATTTTGTTCTCTTTTGAGAATATTATTGCTTTAGGCTAGCCATTCTCCCTTGATTAGTACTGTTTTAATAACCATTCCATCCCTTGAACATTACAGTTTTACGCTATCCAAACCATACCATGCACATTACTGTTTAACATACCATCCTATCCCTTGATTAATCCCGCTTTAAGCTACCAAATCTCCCCATGATTACCACTGTTTCTTTATTTGTTCAGCTTATATGCAAGTACATTATATTACGGTCTTATTCTATTATTAGAATATAATATTCCCCTCCCGTTCTCACTGTTCTGTTCTACTCCTCCAGGGTAGGCAGGCACATGCCGTAGAGAGGTCTGTCGGCTTGGGTGAGCTACGCCATGTTATCATTTATTTAAGTTTCCCTAAATTAATTTATTACTTTGTTCAGCTTTCAGTTATGCCTTGTATTTACTTACTAATCCTGTTGCAGCGTTAAAGCAGTGTCTATTGCTGTGGGATACGCAAATAATTTTGTTTTCACTTTTGAGACTATTATTGTTTTAATCTAGACCAACTATTCCATGAATAAGTACTGTTTAATTAACCAATCTATCCCATGAACATTACAGTTTTAAACTATCCAACCTATACCATGCATATATTACTGCTTAACCTAACTATCCTATACCTTGTATAGTCCTGCTTTAATCTACCCAAATTGTCCATGGTTATCACTGTTTACTCTTTATTTGTTCAGCTTAAACACAAGTATATTATATCTTTTATTTGTTCAGCTTAAATACAAGTATATTATAATATGGTCTTAAGCTATTTACTTGTTCAGTTTCAGTTTGTCTTGTATTTACTCCGCTATTTATTCTGTTTTCTAGCACTGCTTAAGCCTCATGCCTCCCTTGCTGTTTTGGCCTCGCTATGTTATTTATTGTTTATTTAAGTTTTCTAAAATTAATTTGTTACATAGTCCAGCTTCAGTTATGCCCGGTATTTACTTAATAACACTGTTGCAGTGTTAAAGCAGTGTCCTTTTCTAGTGGGATACTCAAATAATTTCGCTTTTCACTTTTGAGATTATTATTGTTCAATTCTTCCAAACTATACCACGAATAATACTGTCTTAATATAAACAAACTATACAATGAATGATACGGTCTTATTATAACCAAACTATACCATGAATAATACTGTTCAATCTATACATGAATATTACTCTCTTAATCTATTTTAACTGCTCAGCTTTTATTACATTGGCTTTTATTTCGATAGCTTTAGCTATGTCCGGTATCCTCATTCACTATGGACACTTAACTTTACCTTTGCTTTTGTCTACTTGTGTATGTGACGGTTGCCGGTGCGGCAGCTGGGTCTCCCTGCCTGTTTTTTTCCCCCCTCGTTAGACCTGCCGATGCTTACTTTTTCATTTTCCGCAGTGGCGAGAAGCCGGATCACCCAGCAACTGCAACACGGAAGAGGGCTCGGGCGGCGTCGTGCGAGGACAACAGCGCAGTGGTGTGAGGACGCAGCCGGCCTGGGCCAGGACGAACCCCTCCCGCTTCGCCTCCCCCTCCTCGGGGGCCTCCTCGGGCGGCTCTGATGTGGACGGCGACCACACTTCCCAGAGGCCCCCTGCTGGCAAAGCGGCGGGTGGCACAGCGTCGCAGCCTCCACCCCTTTCGGCCGACGCTGCAGGCGCCCATCGCGCAGGCTCGGGGGCCCTCTCATGTCACAAGCCTTCTGGGCATGGGAACTACCGAGGTCGACCCTGCCGCGGCTGCTACAGCCGCCCTGCCCCCCACCTTCACCGACTGTCGCCCACGGGCCAGGGCCAGGGGGCATAAGTCGAGGCGACGTGCGAGCTCCTCCAGTCTGTCCTCCTTCCTTCCTTCCTAGTTCGGTAGCGTAGTTGCTCTACCACCCTGAGGTTTCCCTCGCGGCCAGCGGGCACTCGCCCTTCGGGGGGGGGGGGGGGTCCGGCCTGCTGGCCTGCGGGGTGGGGGTGCAGCGCCCGTCCCCAAGTGTTCCGCTGTCCGCAGCTACTACTTTGACTTTACAGCCATTCTACTAGTAAGCCCTACCTTATGTCAGGTAATTCCTTCTTCCTTGGCGGCTCGGCCTCTGGCCTGGGGTTATTTTCTTCTCCAAATACATATCAGGCTTTAATTCCCAGTCACTATGTATTTTTCCGCCGCCTGATTATTCTCCAGCTAGGGTTTCCCTTATGTTATGTTGTTCACTTTGGTGTCCTGTTATACTTAGAATTAGATTTGTTCCATTCGCCTCACTGCTAATTCTAGACAATAGGACATTAGGTTTCTGCAGAGTTTGTTACTAGGCTATAAGATTACGTTATTTTACAACAGGTGTACAATTTAAGATGTTTCGTGTATTTTGAGTTAGCCACGGCTATGTTATAATAATAATAATAATAATAATAATAATCTTTATTTAGGTAAGGTACATACATAAAGAGATTTACAAAGTTTGTTGGCTTTATAGATAGAGCTAGTACATACAATGCCTAAAGCCACTATTACGCAAAGCGTTTCGGGCAGGAAAAACATTAATGACTACAGCTTAAAACTAATGGGTAAAAAGAAAAGATGTGATGAGTACATATAAAAAATAGACGTAAAAGAGGGGGGAACATTGTTGAAACAGCAGCACAAATACAATTACAATTACAACTTATACATTTGTTAAGACCTACTTAGAAGCCTGTTTTACTTCTGCAGAATTATTTATCCTGTAATAAATTTTACGCCCCCATGTGTTGGTGTCTTCCTTCCCCTGATCAGAAAATAATTATTAAATGAAGATGAATGATGCGATGGACATAATCCTGGCTTCATAAGAACGACGCCCGTCAGTGTTTACACTTCGCATCTGAAGGCCCACAAACATGGTCGAACGCACAAAATACTTGACTGGCCAGTTTTTGGGTAGACTCCTATTACATTTACTGTGTGATAGTTATACTTATATGTAATAATATGTATTAAGAGTAAACGCTTAACATGTAATATTAATTAATAAAAACAAAGTCAGCAGCTACACGCCTGTCTCTACATGTCTTGTGTGTTAATTTTGGGCGCTCTTGTACTTGTGCGCTAGCTGGCGTTCACAACTGATCTCGCCTGCAAGACTAGAATCATAATGATAATAATGTGTATTTATTTAGGGGAATAAATTTTTGGGCCCACTCGGAAATATTGGGGCTCAGAAATAATCGAAACATTATAATAATTAATTTTTGTTGTATTAAAAATATAAATAAAACCCATGGTTACTCTAAATATGAGCACTAGAAAACCTTCAATACCACAGGGAAACTTCGCATCTAGTGCAGATACATCGATAATATATTCGTATGTGTGAAAAACCTCCTGAAATTGTCGCGATTAAAGGATCTACTTATCCGCAACTCAGTGCTAAACTTTACCCATTAACTAGGTATCGATGGTACTCTCCCTTTCCTCCATGTCAACGTGAGGACCTAAGACAACTTTCACCACAGAAGATTATACTAAACCCACCAACACTGGAATGTGTATTAATGGTCAGACAGATATAAGAATTGTGTATTAAACGCAATTATACTCAGAGCCCTTACTCATTGTCCTGACTGGTATAAAATCTACAAGGAACTGGAGAAAAGCCTTCAAGTATTAGGTACACGAATTGAGAAGTCAGCACCCATATCAGAAGATATTTAGAAAAATTGTATAACACGCTTTCCATAAAACTATTACAAAATCCACTATGATCTCTTTTTAATGAAAAAATTTAGCCATTTTGTGTAACAACTGTTATAATCTCATAATTTTAATAATCAGAGTTATCGAAATATTCATATTTTTTATATACAAGAGATGAAACAGAAAGTCATAAGCTAGATCTGTGTGTCGCTCTTGAAGACGTCAGTAAGGAGACGGAGTTTTAGTAAATACCTTCCTGTGATTGGCTGTTGCTGGGAATGCCAACATTCTTTCTATAATTAAATGCAAACTAAGAAATACGTCTTTTTGCACAACAATATCTTTATTTCAAACACAATCTCTTTGTTTTGTACAAGATATAAATTTCCATCTAACTGAATAAACGAGTCCAATAAGAAAACGGAGCATTGTATCATCGATATTATTCGCGTCAGGCAACCCCCACTGATGACGTCACAAGCTAGGTAGCCAGCCCATGTTTCTGTAACACTCGTTACATCCTGCAGTATTTAATTATCACTTTATTAATGCTTTTATATACTTAACCTTTTACTTTTTATGTAGATTAAAGTTGAAGCAGAATGTCATAAGCAAGGATGGTGTGCTGAATAATGATGATTTATTAAGTGGATGGAACCTGTAGCTGATCCCTTCCTGTGATTGGCTGTTGTGAGAATGTCAACAAAGAGTTTCTACCAATGATATGCCATTTATTATGCACCCCATACCATCTGTGGGCGGAGCTTGGAAACTCCTACCCGAGCACAATAACCCGCCTTATGGGTTGCTGTTTGGCTATTTGTAGTGCGTTGGAAAAAAAAGAGATGGCGCTAGTTGTATTTTGTGGGGTAATTTGTTATAAGTGTAATTTGATGTCAACAGATGGCGTAAGCTGTACCTTATGGCCACTGTTGACCAGCCAGTTGATAGTGGGTACAAGAATTCAACCAACTACGAACCACTTAGTTTGATGAACGGGGGCAGTAGAACAACAGAAGTGCACTTACATCGCATCAGGCTTGGATACCCATGTGCATGGAAAATAGGCTTACAGGTTCCGGAAGGTGAGAGGAAATGTCAACACTGTGGAGAAATGCCCGACAGACCGCTGGAACATTATCTAACACAGTGCACAGTTACAAACCCGTTAAGATTTCACCTTCGATTCAACAGAGCATGGAGGAAGTTGTTAAACACATATGGCAAAATCTTACTGAAGCGACCATACGGGTCATACATACTCATCCTCCGCCCAGGTAAAACAGAAACGAGCATCACTTAGTGGGCCAGCCAGAGGCTTAGGGCCCGCGCAGGATTATCCCTGCTAAAAAGAAAAAAAAAAAAAAGTTGATAGTGTTCTCTTCTGCCGACAGATGGCATCAGCTGTATCATTATTACTTCCGAATCCCTTTTAAACACTGATCCACAAATCCCTTGACTTATTATGATAAGCTTTTATACTATTCTGGTATTAGATAACAATTAATTTTCGTTTATCTACTGTAGAGAATATCATTATATAACGTCTGCTTAGGATGTACTGTTCTTTGTTGAGATGGCCGTAATATTATTAAAACAACAAATAATGCATAAAATAACAGCATTTAACACTAAAAATACTTTGATATATTGAAATTTGGTAGTGAATTCCAATCTAGGAATCTCCTATGACGAAACTGTACTGTGTTCGCTTTAGCCGGGCATACTGTATATAATAGTTAATGATAAATCATTGTGTAGGGGACAGGCAGCCAGTGTATATATACAAGTTAGGCTTGTACCGGTCCCACAAAGGTGGAACTATGGAGTAAGACTGAGTCTTGCCGGGGCTGAACTTTATCACCCTTGCAAGCACAATATTTTGTTAAATCTTCACATGGAAGAACAAGTGTAAATGTTGGAATAGTTTATTACAACATACAAGCTAAAGAAACCAGTTCGGAAACTGAGGAAATAAAGCTGCCGAAAAGAAACATTACAAAGTCCACTCATGCAGTGGTAGACATTCTGGCCAAAACAGGAATTTCACACTGATCTTAATGCTGATATGTTGATGTGATTATCATAATATAAAGATGTTAAGGAGGGCTGGTTTAGTTCCCTTATTATGCACCCCATACCCATCTTGTGAGCGGTAATGGAAAGGGTTACAGAGGCACATAATGGGCTCAGGGACTGAACCCCACAATTTATTTAGCTAAGCAAATTACAATCTTGATGAGCTAGTTACAAAATTCAATAGACATCGTCACATTAGGAAAGCCTATTTATTTATTAAATTGTATAAGGACAAATTAAAAGACCCTAACTTAATTTGAGTTGCTCACGTGGCCCCAAAAATAAGGTGATTTGATAAAATACTTATTCCCAAGATTACCATCATAGTGCCGTCGGGATGCTGGGCAAATAGCCTCGGCTACCATCATCTTTTGTACGGTCTTGATGGTCGAGTGGTTAAGGTCTCCTGTACACCAGTTGTATAATGCTCCTGGCAGTATGGCTTCGAGTCACTTCTGGTGTGTAGAGTTTTCAGTTGCATATATGCCTGGGGACCAGGGGCCGGATTCAGGAAGGTACTTACGAAGGTTTTTCCTCTTAGCTAAGAGCGTTTTCCGTCTTAGCGCCTTCGTGGCGGCTACGTCCGTATTCAATTAACAACCCTAAGTGGAAAAACCTTCATAAGTTCATTCCGGGATTTAAGTGTGGTTTCGACCACTCGTAGCTTTACGTAAACTGGATATAAGTCATTTTTTCTCTACTACATAACACTGGGATCGATTTATGATATTGGAACATGACCAAAATATTATAGCTGGTGAATCTAGTGAAGAGTAGTCCTTCGTGTTAGTTATATATGCATTCTCTGCTTGAAACTTGAAGTAAATATGTGTTTGATGATAGTAGAATTAGTTTTATCATAGCAAGATATTATACCAGTAGTTATTAAGTAAATAAACACTGGTGAACATGAAATATGAGAGAAGGTGATGAGCCCTGCCTGATGGATCATTTACTATCACCAAATGCCCTAGTTCACATAGTAGTAAGGGTGTACCTTAGCTATACATACCCATTTCTAATTTATTTAGTTTGGTTTTATTTTGAAATTAAATCTGGGAGAGACATAAAATAAAAATATGCTGCACAAATGATGTTAGGTAAGGAGAAGGGTAAAAATGTCACAAACTTTATTCATTGAATACTTAAAGCTATAATTATGACTATA